TGATGTCTAACTGGTGCCCGCTGGCCTTCATCGTCTCACCACACTCGCTTTATAAACCTCCTCCTTTGCAAGCGTAACCAAAGGGGCTTGAACATTCAAAGATCATACTATTTTCACTTTTGAAATCATACTATGTTGACCTTTTAAGTCCCCCGGGCCCGTGTTATTGACGGTAAATAAACTTCTCCTGCTTAAGACATCCAGTTTGTCTCCAGTCTTTTGCTTCCACCCTTTTTTCGGACAAGCTGAAAACTTCTACAATACACTCAAATATTCCTGGAAAGTTTCGAGTAGTCTAGTCCTTCAGTCCATTTAATTCAGTCATACTGTAAACCAAATTGCATGTAAATACCTTAGACTTTATATATAAATTGATATAGCTACCACTTAAGCTGCGTTCTAAATAGGAAGTGTTCACGGAGGCACTTCCTGCTCCATTGACTTCCAGTTGACTTTCTATTACCTCAGCCTCCATATTTTGGTCTTAACATGTTTATATTAAGCAGCTCTGCACGATCCTGATGTTTTTACTACACTGTTAATCAGTCAAGGTTAATCAATTCCTATTCCAATTATGGACCTGGTTCCAAACTGACTGGAGCTGAACACTATGGATGACGTCACACTCCTTTAGTCCACTTCTTTATACAGTCTATGGTCAATACCGAGCAGCTATCAGTCATCAGCAAACCTGCTCTGATTCCTGGAAGTCTTCACCTATTTTCCTACCTATGTCCTCCCTATGTCAGCAGCTCATGTCGGCCATATTACGAGCACACGGGCAAATGACTCATTAGATTAATTACATTAGAGAACACATATGGTTCGCTCAATAAGCCTGATTAGCTCCCGTTTGATCAATACGGGTTTACAAGCAACAGGCCAATCTGCTGACCCCTTTGCTATGCTAGTGTAACAACATGCATGCTAAGGGCTACTCCCATTTCCCTGTGTTTCAGTTCAGCATGTAATAAGTGTAAAAAGCCAGCAAGGTATAGAGCCACCTGCCTATAGTGGTCATGCATTATTGAACGTACGTGGTGCAGTGTCAACAATCTAGGCCTGCAATATGATTAGTCTGATTGTGTCAGGAAAATGTTGAAGGGTGCAAGCTAAGGCATTTCTAAGGGCAAATATTCTTCAGATCTAACATAAGTGGGAAGGCAAAAATAATGTGAAATGTTTTGGGCCAAGTACAGAGCCTTGGGGTACACCAAAATTATAATTCAAGTTTTAAGGATCTAAAAAGCACAGGAATATGAAAGAATTGCAGAAAATTATTGTCATTTTTGTTGTTACAAGTTTTGTATGTACCAAAAAGGTCAAAAATGCACTTAACCACTATACATTAATATTAATACTTGACGTGGAAAAGCAAATGTAGAGAAGTGTTTTGCTACTTGTGAATATTTGTGTATCTTTTTTGTTGTTACAAATCAAAAATACAGAGGTCCATGATAATTTAAAGATTTTATCGAGATAAAACAGTTCTTAAATTAAGATACTGTATTTTTTGGACTATGGTGTACTTAAAATCCTTTCATTTTCTCAAAAATCAACAGTGTGCCTTATAATCCGGTGAAAGTTATGTATTAATTCTGGTTGTGCTTACTGACTTCGAACCGATTGTATATGGTAAACAGCTTTTAAAAATCTGTCAGAATCACTTATTATTATTATTATTATTTTTTTTTAATTTTTTTTCAGCACTTATGGTTTTAAGTTTTGTTTCTGTAAAATGTAAACAAATGTATGTAAAGCTGCATTAAATACTTTATATTTCAATGTATATTTGAGTGATATTCAGCTGTATTAGAACCAGTATTAGAGGTCATGGACTAGTACACACCCATGGACCATTATGGAACCTACCTGGACCACTGAGGGCTTACACAGATATAGGGTCACATGGTAATATAGAACAAAGAACTATTAATTAAAGTTGAAAATTGCTTTCTATTGCCTCAGAGAAAGAGAGACTTTTTAGATTTCTTTTACAGCTCGCCGTCCCAAAGACTAAATCCAAGCTTCGTGGGGACCATGCGTTTTCTGTTGCTGCCCCACGGCTGTGGAACCAGTTGCCATTAGAGATCAGACAGGTGGAGTCTGTACCTGTTTTTAATGTTTAAAGCACCTTTTTTCACTGGCTTTTAACAAGTGTGATGTACATATCTTGTTGTTCAGTATCATCATCATCTTTATTCCAGACTCACGGCACCTTTTTAAAACAGACAAGGACAGTGACAATAAAAACAACAAACAGTTTTTAAAAGACAATCATACCACTGTCTACACATGTTGGACTGATATCTTATTGCACTGAATCTTATATTTGTGAGTGACATTATTATTTCATTGTACGATTTGTTCAGCCTGCAAATAAAACTGTACATTAAAAGTGCAGCTTGCAAAGTGTTCACTTGTGCAGTAACAAACATCTCTGTCACACTCGTCCATCGTGGTCCTCCTCATCTTATTGTATCTTATTGTTTTCTATGTTTTTTTTTTTGTTTGTTTTTTTTAATAGTTGTATTGTGTTTGTATTGTGTACAGACAATCGCAGTTGTTGTGCTGCTATTGTCCTTGTCTATCCTTTGTTTGTGGCCAGCTGTGCTTTAAAATAATACATGAAGTTAGTATGGTATTATTTTATTATCATTGTGGTACTGGAATCGGTATTGAATATTGAGTCTATTCCTTAGTATTTAAATCAAGTTTAAAATTTAATAACGTGACAAATGGTGTCATTTAGAGCTAACAGTGCAGCGCCGGTAGTGACTCACTGCTTTACCCCACAGCTTTTCGTCACTGGAGGAGGGCTAACATGGCAAGAACATGTCAAACAAAAGCTATCACTCGTCAAACTAGTGTAGTGCCCAAGCTACTCAGCATAAAAAAATGATGTTTTGGTGAATTTGCACACGGGTATTTCTATTAGAAAGTGAAAATGGTGATAGTTAAATGTTTAATGCTCAGATGGGGTGTAGAGCGGAATAGATCCGTACAGTGGATAGAACAGCTCCCTGGGCAGAGCTTAAAGAGAGGAGCCTGTTAGTAATGTCTTAACTGAACAAGACATCCCCATAGAAAAGGAGAGTGAGGAGCTACAGAGAATGTGTATGCATAAAGTATGACAGAAGCAGACATTGTGGAAAATCATGTGGGAAAAATATTGTGAAAAATTAGAATGGTAAACTTCCCAATAGGGTTGCATATTTAGGTAAAATATCTGATTGTGATTTTTTTCTGATAAGCATTGCAATTCTGATTAGATTCACAATTAGTTTTTTCTTTAAAAAATAGGTTGTAAGTTATAAAGGTATGTTGTGTACCTTTTCTGGTGGAGCATATCTCATCAGATGTTACTGTTTTTATACTAATATTATAATAATATTAAACTTATCTTTCTTGCATTTACTGAAATATATATGTGTTTTAATTATTGTATTTTTTCGGACTATAAGTCGCTCTGGAGTATAAGTCGCACCAGCCAAAAAATGCAGAATGAAGAAGAAAAAACATCTATAAGTTGCACCGGGCTATAAGACGCACTTTTTTGGGGAAATTCATTTTATAAAATCAAAGACCAGGATCCAACATTTCATCTTGAAAGGCAAGTTATAGTAATAACAATAGAAAAGAGAACAACAGGCTGTTAACATCACATATGAATAGTTCTTCAGATAACTAAGCATAGCATAAACAACAGAACAGAACAAGTTTACCAAACTCTCCATCTCACTCCATCTCCAAATCACTAAATCCATTGAATTCTTTATCCTCGGTGTCATTTCTGAGCAACTCGATGAACCTCCGGAGGTAAAAGGAGTGCTGCTTCCTCTTCTGCGTAGCTATCGTTAGACTCAGCATCAGTTCCAGTCAGAATTATTCTGGCCTTTCTGATTTCTGACAGGATGGTTTCAGTTGTCACTGAAGTCCAGACTTTGTCGATCCATCCAGTGACTCCCAAGAAAGCTGCCTGGCGCATCCTCCCGGTTACCTTGAAGCTGTGTTCTCCATCCCCGCTTTCCACCAGTTTCTCGCTCACTCCAGACTTTTTTTCTGCTGCTTGATTAGCGTTTTCAGCTGCATATTTTACAACTTTACTACAGGACAGAGGCTTTTTCGGCAGGAGAAATGTGCAGTAGAGCCAAGTTGCAGCGGAGTATAAGTCACAGGACCACCCAAACCATGAAAAAAGTGCGACTTATAAATCAACTTAAAAACAACATGAGCACGGTCACCTCTCCACAGATCTGACATGTAACTTGACTTGGTGGTGCACCTTTAAACATGCCAATAATAACTGACAAAAAAACTGAAATATGGACCTAGAAACTAATACAACAGTCACATTTCAGAACATGTTTGTACAGTTCTAAACTACAGCGTTAGCAGTTTTATGTCGAAGAAGACAGGATATTTTGTGGTGGAAATTATGGTACTTAAAAAAATGCCTCCTTTGCTGTTTGCTATTTGCGTCCATACAAAATGCGATTTCGATTGATTGTGCAGCTCTACTTCCCAAACATTATTAGAACATTATTAAACAACACAATAGAAAAGAATGAGACTGAATAACATTTTTTTTTTTTTTTTAATGCAACGCATGGCAGAAATGCACAAGTACATACAATGTGTCTTATTCACAGCCTGCAATAAAAAAACATTAAACCAGCACTATATATTGCGAATGTAAGTGGTAAATCTTTATGTATTTGCCATATCAATACATAACAATACATGACACTGACACTAGTGAATCCAAGTATTTCTGCTTTCTAAAAACTATTTGTTGACCACAGATAAGAGTGTGATGTTCTCATTTGGTCAAAAAGTCAGTTTGTGGGTGTGAAAATCTTATCTATTGCAAATGGGGATATTTGTGCGTTATAATTACTTAAAACTCAATAAAGCTTAACTCATACGCGTTCTAACTTCACCTCTACTTACCTACAATAACCTCTCAAGTAACAATCCCTTTTTCTCTTCTCTTTCAGTCTGTTCACAATTCTCAAGAGGAGTGTATGCCATTTTTGGATTCTATGATAAGAAGTCGGTGAACACCATTACGTCCTTCTGCGGGACTTTGCATGTGTCCTTCATCACTCCCAGTTTCCCTCTGGACGGGACCCAGCAGTTTATCATCCAGATGAGGCCGGACATCAAGGGCCCCCTGCTCAGCCTCATCGAGTACTACAAGTGGGACAAGTTCGCCTACCTGTACGACAGTGATAGAGGTAAGAGACAGGAGAAATAGTAAGAATAGCATGGGGCCTATGACAGACCCCTGGGGTACTCCAACAAATACAATTCAGTGGTTAAGAAAGTAAAAGTGACATAAAATTTTTTCGACTGCTCACTAGCGGTCTTCCTCAGACTGGTCACGTGATGTTGCTGTGACGTGTCAGGTAAGCTGATTTATACAGGCTTTGGCGATGTCTTCCTACCGGGGGAGGAAGGACGACAGCGCCATCTGCAGTCCAACTTCCTTAGGACAGTATCCCAGGTATGTGAGAGTAAAATACCACCAAAAACCTGTTTAAATCAGCTGACCGGACACGTCACAGCAACATCACGTGACCACTCTGAGGAAGACCGCTAGTGAGCAGTCGAAAAAACTTCCATGTCACTTTTACTTTCTTAACCACCGAAGTATATTTGTTGGAGTACCCCAGGGGTCTGTCATAGGCCCTATGCTATTCTTATGGGTTCTGCTGTTAGGTATGAAAACAAACACTTGGTCTGAAAAGAGCCTAGTAACATAAATTATCGGAAGACCAAATTAACCTCATTGGACTATAAAAGTGGCATTTTGGGCACGATTGTTAAAAAATATTATTGATAAAAGCCACATATCTCAACATAAGATGCAAGTGTGGACGTTGTCGCTCCAAATTTATCCTTAGAAACAGAGAGAAGCAAAAGGAACATGTGATTCATTTTGTACATTATCAAGTTTGGCACATATAGCTATTTGTTATTGTTAATTGTTTGTGAAATGTCATATTTAAGGACTAAGTAAGTATTTGTGTTTGTTTTGTAAGGTAGCTGTAATTTCTTGTATGTTCGGTTGTGAAACATTTTGGTTAATTATGCAGAATTTTTCATGGATGCAGATTAAGATTTTCAATGGAAAAATCAAACAAAAAGAAAAGAAAGTATATAGATTATTTACCTTTACAGTATTTTTATTTTGAGCCAGGTGTAGCTAAGCGTAGTTCCTGTTGGTGGCTGAAAAGTGGCCTGTCACATGTTATCACCACTCGCACCTGCTGTGTGGAAGAAGAGCAGAGTGAGCAGAGAAGAAGAGATGCTCCCTGCAGCTGTTCACTTCACCTCTCACTAACTCTCTCTCTCTCTCTCTCTCTGTGTATCTTTCTCCCCCTCTCTTTCTCTCTCTCCTTTTCTCTTTGTCTCTTTCTCTCTCTCTGTGCATCTTTCCTTCCCTCTCGGTTTCTCCCTCCCTCTTTCTCTCTCTCTCTCTTTCTGCATCTTTCTCCCTCTCTCAGTCAACCCCTCCCACTTTCTTTCTCTCTCTGTGAGTCTTTCCCTCTCTTCCCCCTCTCTCTTTCTCTCTGTGCATCTCTCTCTCTTTCGTCTCCCTCCCTCCCTGTTTCTCCCTCCCTCTTTTGCTCTCTCTCTTTCACCCTCTCTCTTTCAGTGCATCTTTCTCCCTCTACCTCCCTCTTTCACTCTGTCTCTCTTTTCTCCCTCTCTCTTTCTTCATCTTTCTCCCTCTCTCACTCAAGCCCTCCCTCTCTCTTTCTCTCTCTCTCTCTCTCTCTCTGTGAGTCTTTCTTTCTCTCTCCCCCTTTCCTCTCTCTCTTTCCTCCCTCCCTCTTTCACTCTTTCTCCTTCTCTCTCTGTCTTTCTGTGTCTTTCTCTCTCTCGCTCTCTGTGCATCCTTCTCTCTCTCTCTCTCTCTCTCCCTCTCTTCCTCTCTCTTTCTCCACCTCTGTGCATCTTTATCTCTCTCCTTCTCTTTCTTCCTCCCTCTCTCTTTCTCTCAGCGTCTTTCTCCCTCCCTCTTTCACTCTCTTTCTCCATCTCTCTTTGTGCATCTGTCTCTCTATCTCCCTCTCTTCCTCCCTCCCTCTTTCTCTCTGGTGCATCTGTCTCTCTCTCCCTCAGTCCTTCTCTCGCTCTTTCTCTCTCTGTCCATCCGTCTGTCTATCTCCCTCCTTCTCTTTCTCTCTGTGCGTCTTTCTCTCTGTCTCCCTCTCTTCCTCCCTCTCTTTCTCTCTGTGTGACTTTCTCTCTATCTCCCTCTTTTCCTCCCTCTCTTTCTCTGTGCATCTTTATCTCTCTCCTTCTCTTTCTCCCTCCCTCTCTCTTTCTCTCAGCGTCTTTCTCCCTCCCGCCCTCTTTCACTCTCTTTCTCCACCTCTCTCTGTGCATCTTTATCTCTCTCCTTCTCTTTCTTCCTCCTTCTCTCTTTCTCCCTGCCCCTTTCACTCTCTCTTTCTCCCTCTCTCTCTGTGCGTCTTTCTCTCTGTCTCCCTCTCTTCCTCCCTCTCTTTCTCTCTGTGCGTCTTTCTCTCTCTCTCCCTCTCTTCCTTCCTCTCTTTCTCTCTGTGCGTCTTTCTCTCTGTCTCCCTCTCTTCCTCCCTCTCTTTCTCTCTGTGCGTCTTTCTCTCTCTCTCCCTCTCTTCCTTCCTCTCTTTCTCTCTGTCTCCCTCTCTTTCTCTCTGTCTCCCTCTCTTCCTCCCTCTCTTCCACCCTCTCTTTCTCTCTATCTCCCTCTCTTCCTCCCTCTCTTCCACCCTCTCTTTCTCTCTATCTCCCTCTCTTCCTCCCTCTCTTTCTCTGTGCATCTTTATCTCTCTCCTTCTCTTTCTCCCTCCCTCTCTCTTTCTCTCAGCGTATTTCTCCCTCCCTCCCTCTTTCACTCTCTTTCTCCACCTTTCTCTGTGCATCTTTATCTCTCTCCTTCTCTTTCTTCCTCCTTCTCTCTTTCTCCCTGCCCCTTTCACTCTCTCTTTCTCCATCTCTCTCTGTGTGTCTTTCTCTCTGTCTCCCCTTCTTCCTCCTCTCTTTCTCTCTGTGTGTCTTTCTCTCTGTCTCCTCTCTCTCCTCTCTCTTTCTCTCTTGTCTCTCTTCTCTCTTCTCTCTCTTTCTCTCTCTCTTTCTCTCTGTTTCCCTCTCTTTCTCTCTGTGCGTCTTTCTCTCTATCTCCCTCTCTTCTCTGTGCGTCTTTTCTCTCTATCCCCTCTCTTCCTCCCTCTCTTTCTCTCTGTGCGTCTTTCTCTCTATCTCCCTCTCTTCCTCCCTCTCTTTCTCTCTGTGCATCTTTCTCTCTGTCTCCCTCTCTTCCTCCCTCTCTTTCTCTCTGTGCGTCTTTCTCTCTATCTCCCTCTCTTCCTCCTCTCTTTCTCTCTGTGCGTCTTTCTCTCTGTCTCCCTCTCTTCCTCCCTCTCTTTCTCTCTGTGCATCTTTCTCTCTCCTTCCCTCGGTCCCTCCCTCGCTCTTTCTCTTTCTCTCTGTATCTTTCTCTCTCCCCTTTCCTCTCTCTCTTTCCTCTCTTTCTCCCCTCCCTCCCACCTTTCACTCTCTCTCTCTTTGTCTATCTCTCTCTGTGCATCCATCTCTCTCTCTTTTTCTCCCTCCATTCCTCTCTCTTTCTTTCTCTCCGTCTCTGTCAGTCTCCCTCGTTCCTGTTTGACTTGTGTGTCGGTGTAAACATGTAGACATATAGACAGTGTGAGGTTGTGCTGCTTACACACAAAACCTCCCACATCGTGCCACAACTGACAAGAAGAACTCAACACTTTGCACTTTAACAGATAAAACAGATAAAACAGATAAAACGCTCAAGGTAAAGCCTAAAGCTCAATGCAAAAGGTTTTTTTTTTTTTTTTCTCAGGCAACTAAAATAGACTTACAATGTAAAGCTCAAAAATCCACTTATCATTCGTTTTTCAAAATAAAACCAAAAATAAGAAACCGAAAAAAACAACAATTTTCTTCTTAATTTGTCTTCAAAACCAAAATGAAAAAACGTTTCCCATTTCTGTGAATTAAACTGCGATGCTGATCCAGGACTAAAACAGGTCTAAACCAGGTCTAAACCAGGACTAAACCAGACCGGGACTGAGACTGGGACCGAGACCGGGACCAGACCAGGATTGAGACCAGGGCTGAGGCTGATTTAGTCGTGGTTCAGTTCTGTTTTAGTCCTGGTGTAGACCTGTTTTAGTCCTGGTCCAGTTCTGGTTTAGTCCTGGTGTAGACCTGGTTTAGTCCTGTTCCAGTCCTGGTTTAGTCCTAGTTTAGTCCTGGTGTAGACCTGGTTTAGTCCTGTTCCAGTCCTGGTTTAGTCCTGTTCCAGTCCTGGTTTAGTCCTGTTCCAGTCCTGGTTTAGTCTTGGTTCAGTCCTGGTTCAGTCCTGGTATAGACCTGGTTCAGTCCTTATGTGGTGCAGAAGTCCGACATCACCGTTTTACAATACTATGAAAAAAAAAAAAAAAAAAACTTTAATTGTATTCTAATGGAGCGAGCCTTTTATTGTGTCCTTAACAGGGTCATTTGAGGTTGTGGTTCCACTTTAATACTTTGGAGTGTGTGTACAATCTTTGATCCAGGCTCTAATGCTTTCCAAACGTACTCGAGACCATAAAGATGATACTCGAAGAGGAATTCCATCTGATTAAACACTACACGAGATGAAGAGGATCTTGAGCATGCTCTTGTTCATTTGCAGAACATAATCAGCAGGATGTGGCCAAGAGTAAAATGGATACAAAGATAAAATGAGCTTGTTTAAAAAAAAAAAAAAACATGTTTAATGGTCCTGTATTGTGCAACTCTTGTGAGATTTAAGCCATGCTATAATGCTCTTACCTGCTCAAAAACAGACCTGGATTTGTGTTTGTCTCATTCACACATGGTTGAATAACCCTTTAGCCTGTTTACATCTCAAAAGCTCAAAATGCTCTGTTCCACCTTGTGATGTCATGAAACTATAGTTTTCAAGTTAAACATTCACATTTTGTTCAATAGAAAAGGCTGAAATAATCCAAATGATTCTCACTAAGATTCATGTAGTTTAAAAACACAGTGGAGCACTTCCAGAATTACCACACATCACAAGGTGGAGTGTTTTCTGTTTAAAACAGGCATGTCCAAACTATGGCCCGTGGGCCAAATGCGGCCCTCTGACAATTTTTTCTTGGCCCTCAGGCTTTCAGGTGAATTGGCCCAAATTACCTCACATCAATTAAAATTTTACTTTTTTACT